GAACCGCTCGCCTGCCCGCGGCGCCGCCGCGGCCAGCGGGCGCCTCCGTGCGGCCCGCCCTGCGCGCGACGGCGGCGGCCTCCGACCCGCAGTCCCCGAGCGCCCCGCGGCGCCCGCCGGGGGCCCCGCCCGCGGCCGTGCGCCCGCGCCCCGCAGCCGACCCTTTGCCTTTTATCATCGCTCGGACGTGTGCATTTTTCCTCCGGCGAGGACCATCGAGGAGCATCCTTGATCATTTGGCGAAAAGCACACGCACGAAACCGAAACCAAAACACACAGGGAGTGGACGTCCGAGCGATGCCCAGTTGCGCGAGCACCGCGCGTCGCGCCACCATCGCTCGGGCAGGAGCAGGTTCCGTCGGGCCTGGCCCTCTGCAGGGGGGATCTTCGAAGATCATCAAAATAATGGTCGGGGGACGATTTTGTTTGGTTTTGTGACTATTTTTGATCATGTGGGAGCATGTTCTGAGTATTTTTATTTTTCGCCCAAAATCCCCCCGTTGGGGGGCACGCCCGACTTGAGGATGAGGCGTCCTCGTCGACATCCCGCGCGCCTCGCACTCGGTGCTTCGGCCGTCCAGAAGGTCGCCTCCAGCGCGCGCGCGCGGCGCCTCGGTGTCCTCTCCTCGGACTCGCCGCAGGCTCGCGCGTCCGCGGGTGTGATCGGTCCTCGGCCCTCCCGTTTTATGACGGAAGGCAGGGCGGGCTGCGTCGGGGGCCTCTTGGGCTGCATTGGGACTGTCTGGGGACGTCGTGGAACGAATCTGGGCTGTCTTGATGGCATATTAGGGGCCATCTAGGGCCGTGTTGGAAGCGGCTTCACCGAGCTGGGGGGCCATTTGGGTGCCGTATTGGGGCCATCTTGGGTCGACCTTGGGGTCGGCGTGAGGCCTGCCGCTGTTTTGCCCGCGCCCTTGGCGGGCTCTTTGGGGATTGTCGCCCGCTCTGGGCGGGCTCCGGGGGCGACTTCGGCCCTGGCTGCGTCCGCGGACCCCCCGAGCCCGCCTTCGCGCGCGCGGGCTAAACAGACGAACGATTCGACTAGGCTGCCAGGGCGAAGGGCCTAACATGCTATTGGCCCGTTGGACCAGCGAATTGATGCGTGACGTGGCTGATTCGGCGTCCCCGAACTTGAAGTACATCGCTGGACCTCAGTTGAGGTCGCGCGCGCTAACGTGCTGCGCTGGTGCCACCGTTGCCTAATGCATCAGATCTTCCGTTTGATCGCCAACTCGAGCGGTCTGGTGCCATCGGCGAACTTTTCTGCCTCGGCGACGTGACCCGCTCATCTCAAAGCGGCGGTCGCTCGCCCAGGCCATCGCCTCCAATGCGCGCAGTGGCTTGGCGTCGGGTTGCGTCGATGCCCCATCGCCGCCCGACCCAGCTGCTCGCGATCGCGCGCGAGCGCTGCTGGTCGAGCTGCGCCTCTTCCCACGGCTGCGCGATGATGTCGGGGGAGTGTTCGAGGCAGTCGGCGACGCGGAGCGTCGGGGATGGGCCGAGCGGCGCTGGACCTCCTGAGCGGCCCTTAGCAGGGTAATCGCATCAGACATTGCTGTCGCGGAGGGGGCCGCGCCCGTGTGGGGCCCCGGTGCAGCGCGGCGCAGAAGATAGCCGACGCGTTTTTTTTTGGGGTCAAACAAATTGTAAAGTATAGAAACATAATAAAAATGATATGTGTGTATATATATATATATCTATGTTTTAAACAAACCCTTAGTCGCGGCCTGACAGGCCAGCGTTTTAAAGTTGGACTTCAGCGGCTCCTTTCCCGTCCTGGTTCGCGCAGGGCGCGCGCGGAATCATGCAGGGGGCTTGGGTCGCAGCAGGTCGCGAGGATGAGGGTCGACACAGGGTTGCGGCGCAGACCTGGGCAACCCCCGTTTGAACGATTTGGCCGAACTCGTCGCGAGTCGCGCGTCGCGCGTTCCGCCCGCCCATCCAAGAATGGTCGCCGGGTGAGTTGCCGCTGTCGGAGCATTTCGAGTGTTCCTGGAAGCAATCCTGGGCTTTCTTGGGCTCTCTTCGGGCCGCCGTGAGCTTCTATTCAGTGGCGTTCGTACGCGTCGCGGCGCGCCCCCTCCAGGCCCGGGGGGGCGGGCTTCCCTGAAGGGGTGGGCGGGGGTTGGGGTGGCGAACTACTCGAGCCACTCGCGCCCGGAAGGGCAGGTGACATTGCGTATCGGGCGCTGTTGCCGTGTGGGCGGCGTTGGCGGCGGCGGCCTTGGTATCTCGTCCGGCGGAGGAGTTCGCGCGCCAGCTGTTGAACTGCGATGTTTGGGGTCGACTGATCACGGACTTCTCGGCCGCTCGAGGTGCCGCGTCTTCGTCGCGATCCGCGCGGCGCGCCGCCCCCGCGTGTTTGAGGCCGCAATCCATGGTCGTCGACATTTTCGGCGCATTCTTTTACTCCCCCCCCCTCGCTAGCGGGGGGGTGCTCGGGCCCCGGTGCCGGAGCGCGCGGGGGGCAGTGCTGGGGATGAGCGGTGTGCTTTGGTTGCGTGGCGACGTGCAGTGACAAATGTGGCCGTTCTTTCTCGTTGACCCAGCCGCGCGCGCCGCCCCGCGCGTCCGCCCGCGCGATCGGGCGGGCGCCCAGGGGGGCGGGGGCCCCGGGAAAACCAGGGCGGCGCCCGCGGGGGGCGGGGGGGGGGCGGCGACGGGGCCCGGCACCGGCGAGCGCGCAACCGGCGCCCCGCGTTCGCAAGAACAGAAGCGGCGCCCCACTTCACAGGGGCCCGCGAGTGAGAGTCGAAGGTCCAGCTGCAGCGCGCCGCAGCGATCGCGGCGGCGGATTGCCCGGCGCGGGCCCGCTGCGCGCTGAGCGGTCAGCAGTGGCGCGGGCGTTCTCGAAAGGGCGCGCTTGCGAGGTGGGCGAGGCTTCATCTTTGAACCTGCGCCGGCGGCTCATCGCCAAAGCAGGGGGCGCGGGAATTCCGCCCGAGGCTCTGTTGAGGCGCGCTGTCGTTCCAGTCAGTCAGACGGTGGTCGACAAGGGGGGGTCGCCATGGCGCGCGTGGAGCGGGGCCGCGCAATCCGCGCCGACGATATCTTCCGCGCGAGGAAGGGGCGTCTCCCAACTGTCGAGTGTTCCGTCTGCAGGGCGCAGAGCCTGAAGCCCATGAAACAGCACTGCGCGCGTGGCGGCGTGGATCTAAGCCGAGGGCGCAGTCTCCTCTATCTCGGTGAGACGGAAGGCATGGCGCTTAGGAAGCGCTCGCACAATGGCGCGCTGAGACAGCGCGCCCCCCTCGAACCGAGCGGGCGCGGGAGATGGCGCTATCGGGGCGGGGCCGTTCAGCTGGCAAGGGGGGGTGGGGGGGCGCAGTTAATGGTCTTTCACGCATCGAGTTGATGTGTCTGTCGAGGCGGGCCTCTGCTGGGATCGAACGAGTAGTGGCGCCCAGAGAGATGGATTCGCGCCCGCGTGTGATCGGCGTTGCCGCGAACGGGGCCGCCGCGCCCCCCGTTGCGCAGTCTGTCAGGCAACGGGGGTCTTCGCCGCGGTGCCTGGGGGGCCGCGTCTGGCGCATTGACGCGGCCGCTCTTGGCGCGCGCCTGGCAGGTCTTCGCGCGAAGAGTTCCGTCAGGGACGTCGGCTTCAGCTCGGGGCGGGGCGGCCGCGGCGACTCTTCGGGGGTAGCTGCGTCGCGAGATGGTGGCGTGTGACAGCTCGCCTAGAGTTCCCAGCGGGCCCGTGGTATTGCGAGCGCCGTGCCCGTCGTCCACCCTGGTTTGCGCGCAGCCTGCCCGCTCTGGGTTGCGCTTGAAGGCTTGCGCGCTAGCCAGTCGAATGCGGGCTGTCCTCGAGATGTGCAAACACGACTCTGGCCGCTGTGTCTTCGCGTGTCGAGGTTGCGCAGATATTGGCAGTGTCTATTGCCTTTCTTACGTCGGCTTCACGACAACCCCGTGGCTGTTCTGTCCCGGTGCGATGTCGCCCTGGCTCCCGATGGAGACGCTCGGAGGGTTCAGCTCCGCAGCGTGGGTGACTGGTTTGTCTTCGGGTCTCACTGCAGTATCTGCGCGGACTTGGCCACGGCCGAACAAATCATTCTGGAGTTCTGGAGGTCGCCGACGTGTCCGAATGGGTCGGGGTGCTCAGCGAGCCTCGGAATCCAGATGACGAGTCCACATATGATGGACGATGCGACGCACCCGCGCTCTCGGCGGCCAGGCGCGGGGTCGGTGCCGCGGTGGCCCCGATCGCTTTGGGCAACTGGACTTGCTGGGGCTACTGCAGCCGTTGCGTCGCCTTGGCGGAGGCTGCCATGGCGCGACAGGGCGGTGCGCGGTGGTTGCGGCCCCTGCGATGGTTGCGGCCCCGCGCCAGGGCCGCGGCTGCCAGCAGGGCCGCCCGTTTTTCCATGAACAAGTTATGGCAGTGGCGGCAGCGACGACGAGGGCGCTGGGAGCTCTGCGGCCGATTCGGAAACCCATCTCGTCGACGCGCTCGGCGGCGATGATAACCATGGCGAGGGCGGTCGCGGTGAAGACTCGGGCGCGAGCTCTGGCGGCGATGCCGCTGCGGGCGGCGGCGTGGCAGTCGCCGCTGGCGCTGCGCGCGCGGGCGGGGGGCGTGGGAGATGGAGGTGTGCGCCCGGCGGGGATGCGGCAGGCGGCCGCCGTGCTGGAAGCCTGGCCGGGCAAGACGGCGGGGGCGACGCTGGCGGTCCAGGGCCTTCCAGCGTTCCGTTGGGAGCTCATCCAGCGGAGGCCCTGGCGGGCCGCCGCCCCTTCCCCTCCAGGGCCCCGTCCTGGAGGCAGCGGCGGGCCTGTCCGACCGGTGCCGCCTGGCCCGCCGGCCGCTGTCTTGGTTCATTCTATGCTGCAAAAAGGAGGGTGCACTCACGGTGTCGGTCCTCGGACGTCGGTCGTCGGTCGTCGGTCATCGGTCGTCGGTCGTCTGTCGTCGTCGTCGTCGTCTTCGTCGTCGGTCGTCGGTCGTCGGTCGTCGGGCGTCGGTCGTCGGCCGTCGGTCGTCTGTTGTCGTCCTTGAGGCACGACCCGGACGCCCTGAACCCTGCCATCGGCTCCCTCGGTGAGGCGGACTTCTGGGAGGCGTTCGAGGCGCGGTACGGCTGCAACCCCGACCTGGCGTCGCCGTGTCCGCCCCAGCCGGGCCGCGGGGCCGCCTTCCTCCCTGTTCCCCTCCTCGTCCTCCCCCCTCGCCTTCCCTCCTCCTCCTCCCTCTTCCTCCCTCTCCTGTTCCTCCCTCCTCATCCTCTCTTCTACTGCTCACTCCTTTTCTTCTTCTCTCTCCTCTCCATTATCCTCCTTCTCGCCCTCCTCCTCGTCCTCGTCGTCGTCCTCCTCCTCCTTCGGCTTCTCTTCGGTGCCGCCCGATGGGGGCAATTCCCTGCGGTGTTTGCCGCTGCGGGCCCGAATGGGTTTCTTCCCACTGTGAGGGTGGTGGCGCGGAGTCTTCGGGATAGGGCGTTTGACGCCTCGCAGGATCTTCGAAGTTGGGACCAAGTGAGTCTGCTTGTCGCCCCGCAGCACGTTTTTTCCGACAGGCCTCCGCGTTTCGCGGGTCGTAGGACGCAAATCTTTCTCCTCAGTGAAGCTGGAGGGCGCGACCTGTTTTCACACGCGAGGTTGAGCAATGTGCACTGCAACCTCGTGCCAGCGCGCACGTAAAATATGAACTTCATGCTCACGTCCTCCTCCACTCAGATTTATCTCTTTCCCACCTTGCCAAAGCTTCGGGCTGCGTGCAGATAGTCCTACCAGATACCAGCTAGTTCCCGCTGGCCTCAACAGGCCCCCGGAGTAGTCCAGGGCGTTCTCGACACCCCAACCCTGGGCGAAGCGCCCCAGGGGCGCCGCCGGAGGCGGTTCCAGGGTCGTGTGATCCTCAGTCTTACCATGTCCTCTACCTCTTCCTTCCACTAGGATGTAATTCCTCTGATGTTGAATTCTGAGTCGGCGCTGGTACATCCCATGGTCGACGGCTTACCTAATGCGGCTACGTCCCAGTTAATGTGGCTTGATCCCGCTAAATCCGGCTTAATCATCCAGCTTCATCTCGGGTTTAATCTGACTTAATCCTGCTCATTGGCCCTAGAGTCTTGCTGAATAGCATTCGCTCGTTCTGACGAAGACCTCATTCTCCCAATGTTTTCCTGGTTTTCCCAGGCGGGGCTAGGACGAGGATGAATCCGTTCCAGAACGTTCCGGAACGTTCTCAGAGCGTCCCAGAACGTTCTGAGAAGCCTGCGACGCCCGACGTTTTCCAGAGCCGCCAGATCTCAGAGATTCTCGATCTATCCTCACCCGAATTCATCCTCGTCATGGCTTCGTCGTAGGCTCAGGGGGGACGCATCGACCCCCAAGGACAGAGGGGGGATATCGTGGCGTCCGGCTCCCATCAGCCCACAAGGTGCGTGAGCGAAAGAGATGTGAGCGAACGCGTGCCCAGCATTGTGACCGAGAAGGCAGTGTGACCGGAGCAGAGAGCACGAGACGAAGCCGGTGGCTTCGTCTCCTGTTCTCTGCGCCTACACCGCCTCGCCTTCCCCTCCCTTCCCTCGCCTGTCCGTCGGCGCGCTGCCCGCGCCCGCCCGGGCGGCCTGCTGCCGCAGCGCTCCTCCGGGGTCGCCTGCCCGATCGAGCTCTCCTTCCGGAGGCTGATAGGCCTCCGACCCTGACGCGTCGATGAGCGAAGTGGCCGTTCTCGGTTCGCGGGGGGGGGCGTCGCGGCCGCCGCCGTTTTCTCGGGTCCAGGTCCGTCGGTTTCGGCCCCGGGCTGTTTTCACTGAAGGGAGGTTTACCAGAGGGAGGTTAGTGCACCGCCGATTCTTCCCATCATCCGGGAGACGTGGAGCTCCTCCCCCCTCCTCGCCTTCCCGCCCTTCTCCCCCTGAGATGCGGGCGTTACCACTTCTTCACACCGGGTGTGTTTTCGCCCGGTTCCTGGACCCAGGGCCACCGTCGAAAAGTGCCACGGAAGGGTGGGGTCTGGAGCTCTGGTCGTGACTTTTTCTGATGTTGCAGTTCTTTCACAAGGCCGGATTTCACAGGACCCTCGGACCTCACGCATCTTGGCCACGAAGTCGAGGCGGACCTAGCCGTTGCGATGACTGTCCCCCCCCCCCCCCCCTCTCGTGAAGGCCCAAATCCAGGCCTTCCGACTCGGGCACATTGGGTCGGAGGAGCGCGCCACCAGAAGCATTCCGTAGCCATTATGGCTCAAGCCATTTGACTCAAGCCATTCGGGCCGAATCCATCCTGGCTTAATCAGCGCTTACGTCCTGCCGTGCTGCACCGATGATGCGCTGCCAGGGGCTTGCCGCAGGCTGCATCGGCACATACGTTGCCATGGATTTCCAGAGGTGGAGGGCGCATGAGAGGCGAAGAGGGCGGCGCGACGAGATACAGCAGGCTCTGTGGTACAGGAAGGCAGAGCTCTTGGAGCATGGGGCCCAACAGTATACACCACCACCATTTTCATCATGCCCTCCCTCCTCCAGGAAAGAGGAGAGGAGGATGAGGGTGGAGGAGGGAGGAGGAATCGACGCGGTGGTGGTGTATATTCTCCTCCAGGAAAGGGGAGAGGAAGAGGAGGGTGGAGGAGGGAGGAGGAATCGACGTGGTGGTGGTGTAGATTCTTGGGGCCCGCGGGAAGCACTGGCACGACTTCAAGACAGAGATGCAGCGGCAGGGGGCGATGCAGCTCGCCACCGACTCCACGAAGCTGGTGCTGAGCGTGATTCCGGGTGCCGCGGTGCTGGGGGAGACCGCGGACACCGTGAATGATGCGGCCAACCTGCACGATCTGTACGAACTGGTGAGCGAGATGAAGGATGTTTCCGTTCTGCACTGTGACGAAGAAGCAGGGCTCATGGATGTTCTGGCGAGGAACGATTCTGGAAGGCGGGCAATCCAGAGCAAGTTGGAAATTGCGCAGTTGGAGAAGGAGCTGTCGATACTGTCATCCGACTTCTGGTCTGGGCACCCACACTTGGAGTCAGGGTGGATATGGCACAAACCGTTGACGTATTGCAGACCTTTGTTCAGATTAATACAGCCTTTCATGACCGAGGTGTCTGGCATTTGCAGCGCTGCTCCGCAGGAGTCTGATAGATATGCAAAGGTTTTCGCTCTCGTGGACAAGGACTCAGACGGTTCAATCAACAAGGCTGAATTCAAGAGAGCGTTGTTAGCGTTGGATTCTATAGATGGAGAGTGGAGAGATTTGCTTCAAGGAGATCTTACATCATTTTTTCTTTGGGCTGATGCAGATGGCGACGGCAAGATTGAAGCGAACGATTTTATCCTTTGGGTCCAAACCACAAGAGCGCTCATAGCATGTTTCAAAGCGATGGACCGTAATGGTGATGGATTGATCGATGCGGCTGAATTCAAGGAAGCCGTGCACAGGTTGTCTGGAAGCTTGCAACAGATCAGAGCTATCGGTGCCGAGTCGGGACAACGTAACCACTCTGAGGTGGAGGCAGAGTTCAACGACATCGATCGGAACAAGGACGGCCGAATCAGTCTTCCAGAATTCGTTGGGTGGATGCACAAGTCCTCTCCAGAGAACGGCCTTCGCGCCGTCCTGATGCGTGTCGTCAATATGAGTATGGCCCACACCGTGAGCTTTCAAAGTGTAGGATCCCAGGGTCTGCAAGGCCTGAAGGGTCAGATCGGCTATTTGAGCGAGGCAAGCGTGGCAGGTGTGCAAGACGCGAAGCGGCGTGTCAGCAGTTTTTTTTTCCCGTCTTGAAGATAGGACGCCACGTCCGTCCTCCTGTAAACTTTGGGATCTGCAGTACCCATCGACGGGCCAGAGAGGCCGTCATCATCTTGGCCCCCTGTCGGCTCAGGCTCTGCCAGGGTTGATGCCTTCGGAGCCGCATGGGGGCCTTTCTGTTGAGGCGTCTGGAGATGTCTTGAGAAGGTCCTGGCTCTGCTTTTTCAACCCTCGCTGCTTTCCCTAGCTCTTGCGTTCTGGATGCGGATGTTTCGTCCTCGAACCTGTTGTGTTCTTCCTTTCTGTGTGGTGGCTTCCGCATTTCGACCTCTTCGGCCATACTCGAGGACGCCGGCGGCGCATCACCGGCCGCTCCCTGGGAGTTTGCCGAAGTGGTGCGCAGCATCGAAAGTCGTGACGCGGCGCGTATGCCAGCTATCAAATGGCCGTCGCCCCATCCCGCGACCGTGCTTGGGTTTTGGGTCGAGTCCTCATGGACGCTTCTTGGGGTCTCTCGAGAGGGCTCTCGGGGGCCTCTGCGGGGAGTTTAGTGGCCTCTTGGGGGCCTCCTGGGGGCTTCTTGGGAGCCTCTTGGGGCCCTCTTCGGGGCTCTTGGGGGCCTCTTGGGGCCTCTTGGGAGCCTCCTGGGGGCCTCGTGCGAAGTGCGTCCCAATGGGTGCGTGCGAAGCACATCCCAAAGGGTGCGCGTACTACACGTGTCCCAGCGGGTGCGTGCCGGAGCACGTCCCGCAGGGTGCGCATGTACTATACTGTACGTGTCCCAATGGGTGCGTGCGAAGCACGGCCCAAGGGGTGCGCGTACTACGCGTGTCCCAGTGGGTGCGTGCAGGAGCACGTCCCAGAGGGTGCGCGTGTACTATACCGTGCGTGTCCCAGTGGGTGCGTGCGCAGCACGACCCAAAGGGTGCGCGTACTACACGTGTCTCAGTGGGTGCCAGGCGGAGCACGTCCCAGAGGGTGCGCGTGTACTATACAGTGCATGTCCAAAGCACGTCCCAAAAGGTGCGCGTACTACACGTGTCCCAGTGGCTGCGTGCCGGAGCACGTCCCAGAGGGTGCGCGTGTACTAAACCGTACGTGTCCCCATGGGTGCGTGCAAAACACGACCCAAAGGGTGCGCGGTTTACACGTGTCCCAGTGGCTCCCATCAGGAGGGGTCCCCGCTCGAGATTGCCTCGTGTGTCACTCACAGACGAGGCCCCAGCTGGAGACTTCTAGCATCTTCAGGCCTCAGGAGCCCAAAAGTGACGACGTTTACAGAATTCGCATGGCCGCGCTCGGATTACCAAGCGCGTGCCCCATGGGGAAGGGGCTCCCGCCTGAGATTTCCTCGCAATTCACTCACAGGCGAGGCTCCCACCTTAGAATTCCTCCAAATGCAGGCCTGAGGAACCCAAGTTGAGGATGACCCGCTCGGATTGCCAACATGAAGTGTGGGACCCATAGGGAGGGGGCTACCGCCTGAGACTTTCTCACAATTCACTCACAAACGAGGCTGCTGCCTGATACTTCCTCCATATTGAGGCTTCAGGAGCCCAGAAGTGACGACAGTTACAGGGTTGACGATGATCGCTCGGACTACCAACATGAAGTGCGGGACCCAAAGGGGGGTCAGCCAGAGCGCCCGATCTTGCAGGATCCTGCAAGAACAGAGTCGCATTGACCCAGGTTTGGGTGCAGGATCCTGCAGGATCTTGCAGGATCCTTCGCATTGCACCCAGATTTGGGTGCAGGATCTTACAGGATCTTGCAGGATTCTGCAAGGCCTGGCTGACCCAGTGTTGGATTGACCTGGGTCAGACGATCCCCGAACATGATTGTATTTGGTTGTTGCATGTTATGGGCGCGCTCCGCGTTCGTATCGACTGCGTTAGCCACTGCAGGTGATGCGCACCACGTACGTTTCACAGCTTTGCTGCCCCGGTCTTCCCCCTCGTCCTCTGGGTGCCCGTCGCACTCTGTCTCCCCTCGCGTGCTCTCAGTCTGATCCACATTGACAGTGGTAGCGGTGTTTCAATCGCTACGGCTGCGCACGTGTACGACGTCAGTCGGATGATCGCGTTGTCTGCCTTCGCCTCGTGCTGCTTGCTGAAAACACGCTTTCGGCGCTGCGCGGCGCTCGAGGAAACGGGGGGGAGGTCGCCTCGTCAATCTCGGCCCCCCTTATTGGCCGCCCCCCCAGAGCAGCTGTGCTCACGTGCTCTGTTAGGCTGAGCACTGGGGAGTCATCGTCGCCTTCAGTGCTCCACCCTTGGCGGTGCCTGCGATCCAGGTTTCCCCTCGACGATTCGGTGGCCGGGGTTCAAGGGCGAGCCACGGATCTAGGTCTCGATTCAAGTCTTTCGCCTCTTTTCCTGTGCCCCCCCCCCATCCGCAGCCCATGGTAGTTTGCGCGTGCTCGCGCAATTCCCTCTCCCCTTCCCCAGGTGCCCGCGGCGAGCCCAGCCGCCGTAGAAGCGCAGCACTCTGGCTGGCGAGGCTTTGAGCACCGCAGGCCTTCCCGCGTGGCACCTCTCGCGCCCGCTTGTTGAGGAGCTCTGGTGAAGCTGGTTTGCTGGGCCGTCTTGTGGCTGCCTCGTGCCCCCGCCGGACAGTCTTGGGGTCCCTTGGGGCCCTCTTGGGTCATCTTTGGGCCCCTCGGCTCTCGTGGGCCGTCTTGGAGTTGTCTTGGCCGTCTTGGAGCCCTCTTGCCAGACAGCACATGGCATTCGACCACGCCTTGACGTACCACGGGGGCACGGGGGCGGACACATGGGGGGGACGTCTACCAGCCACGTCGCCGATCCTGGCCAGGCCGATCCTGAGCCCAGCATCGGTGCATTCGCATCCCCACAGCCAGGTCCGGAGGGCGTGGACACGGAGTCGGGGATCGCCAGGATCGGTGAAGTGGAGGAGGAGGAGGAGGAGGAGGAGGAGGAGGAGGAAGAGGAGGAGGAGGAGGAGGAGGAGGAGGAGGAGGAGGAGGAGGAGGAGGAGGGAGGGAGGGGGAGGGGGGAGGGGAGGGGGAGGGGGAGGGGGAGGGGGGAGGGGGAGAGTTGACGTCCCCAGGGCAAGCCTTTGAAAGCGGGAAGCGCTTCCCGATGTGGTAGCCTCGGGTTTCGCGTCTCCTCGGGGGGGGGCGCCGGGCTGCGCCGGCTCTTGCAGCCAAGGCTCATCAAGGGGATGGTGCGCAAGCTCCTCCAGGCCGACTTTGGCCTGCTGGAGTCGTACGTCCCGAGCAGCCTGGAGCCGCTGGAGGTGGGAGGAGGAGGAGGAAGAGGAGCAGGAGGAGGCGGCGGATGAGGAGGGGGATACTAGCAAGAAGAAGACGAATACGACTCACAGTAATGAGCATAATACTGATACCAATAATAATATTGGTAGTCGTACCAATAGATGCGGTGCTAATACTATCACTACTACTAATACGGATATGAATAATACTCGTCTACAACAACTAAGATGGGCAATCATAGCAATACTAATAAAAAAGTGCACATACGAGTAAAACCATTGATAATAGTAAGCAGAGTAATACGAGCAATACTAAGACTACTAAGGACAACACGAATACGAATACGACAACACATGATATGATTCAGAATCGTGACATTCATATTGCTATTATTGAACTACGAGCATTTAGAATCATACTATCCAGAATATTAGGTTTACTAACACTACGAATGCGACTTTTACTACTTAGTATGAATAACAATAAGAATGACACTGAGCATGAGGATGATGACTAGGAGGAGGAGGAGGAGGAGGAGAAAGGGGATAAGGAGAAGGAGGATGAGGAGGAACAAGTGGAAGAGGAGGAGGAGGATGAGGAGGACGAGGAGCAGGAATAAGAGAATGTCAGAGTGAGGGGGCCGAACGGTCATTCACTGTCCCTGGGTGCGTGGCTGATGTGGAATTCCGCGGTGCGGATTCTTGTTGTTGTTGTTGTTGTTGTTGTTGTTGTTGTTGTTGTTGTTGTTGTTGTGTTTGTTGTTTGTTGTTTGTTGTTTGTTGTTTGTTGTTTGTTGTTTGTTGTTTGTTGTTTGTTGTTTGTTGTTTGTTGTTTGTTGTTTGTTGTTGTTGTTGTTTGTGTTGATGTTGTTGTTGTTGTTGTTGTTGTTGTTGTTGTTGTTGTTGTTGTTGTTGTTGTTGTTGTGTTGTCGTCCTCCCACCCGCAACCCGCCCCGCGACCCACCCGCGACCCACCCCGCGACCCACCCCGCGACCCACCCGCGACCCACCCGCGACCCACCCGCGACCCACCCCGCGACCCACCCCGCGACCCACCCCGCGACCCACCCCGCGACCCAACCCGCGACCCACCCCGCGACCCCCCCGCGGCCCACCCCGCGACCCACCCGCGACCCACCCGCGACCCACCCGCGACCCACCCGCGACCCACCCGCGACCTACCCCGCGACCCACCCGCGACCCACCTTCGACCCAAACCACGTTCAAGGTACAAACCACAATTTTCGGCGCCTGCGGCGGGCTTTTTTGCATTCCTTCCAAGTGGAGAGCCCGCGACACATCCCGTGACCAACTCGCGACCAACCCGCGACCCAAACCACGTTCAGGGTACAAACCACATTTTTCGGCGCCTGCGGCGGGCATATTTTGCATTCGTTTCAGGTGGAGAGCCCGCGGCCCACCCGCGACCACGTTCAGGGTACAAACCACATTTTCGGCGCCTGCGGCGGGCATCCTTTGCATTCGTTCCCTGTGGAGAACCCGCGGCCCACCCGCGACCCAAACCTCGTTCCGTGTACGAGCCAATTTTTTTGGCGCTTGCGGCGGGCTGCTTTTGCATTCCTTCCAGGTGGAGGTGGAGAGCCCGCGACCCACCCGCGACCTAAACCACGTTCACTGAACAAACCAATGCCGCACAAGCGCGGCGGCGGATTCTTGCATGCCGTCTGAGCCCGCAAGGACCTCTTCACGCCCCGCACATCCACGCCAGCCCGTCCAGCAACTTTGCCCTGGCGAGTTGCCTTGATCAGAGAAGGCGGGGAGCATAAAGTGGAAAAAAGGATTGCGTTGCAGTTATCTTGGGAAAGGAGGGGGAGGCAGGATGAGTAAACAGGGGACGAGGAGAACGTGGAAGAAGAGAGGATGTAAGGAGAACGTGGAGAAAGAAAAGGAGGAGGAACAGGAGGACGAGGGGGAGGAGGGGGAGGAGGGGGAGGAGGAGGACGAGGAGGGGGAGGATGGGGAGGATGATGATGATGATGACGACAATGGGAGGACGATGATGGAGGCCGATGAGGGGGAGGACGACAATGGGAGGACCATGATGAAAAGACGAGGGGGGGAGAGGGAGGACGAGGAAGAAGAGGAGGAGGAGGAGGAGGACGAGGTGGAGGAGGAGGATGACGATGACGATGAGGACGAGGAAGAGGAGGAGGAGAAGGAGGAGGAAGAGGAGGAGAAGGAGGAGGAGGAGGAGGTGGAGGAGAGCGCCATCGACAAGGAAGGTGGGGGCCACGAGGTCCGCCGGCTCGACGACGCCCGTGTCGCCCGCGCCCGCCCCCTCACTCTTATCCGCAATTGCGGGGTTCTACGTAATATAATCGAATACGCAATGGAGCTCCAGATCGTGACAGGGAGACGACTGCGAGCAGGAAAAAAAGGAGGAACAGGATGATGATGATGATGATGATGATGATGATGATGATGATGATGATGATGATGATGATGATGATGAGGAAGAGAAACATGAGGAGGAGGAGGAGCAGGAGGATGAGGAGGAGAGGCAGGAGGATGAGGAGGAGAGGCAGGAGGAGGAGGAGGAGGATGAGGAGG